TTTCACTGAACAGCTTAGAAACGCAGCTACAAAAACAGCAGGTAAACAGTTTGATACAGTTTTCACAAGTCCTCATCACAAATAGCATGTAGAGTGCTAATGTTTTTAGCAGTTAGCTCAGTGCTGTAACGTGGAACTGCAGTGTAAGACTGCGTGTTCACAGGTGACACAAATGTGTAATCAGTGGGGAAGATATTAAGGGGATGGCCCACTTTCTCTCCAGTTTTTGGCAGAAGGATGGATGAGTGTCACAGCGAGTAGCAGTGACAGATGTTCACCAATATATGCAAACTACACACGTACATAACGGGAAGAAGCTAGTCTAAACAATAAATACATTGTTTCCCCCCTCAGCAACACCTATTTCACACACTGAGCCTTTAAATCAACCGGAAGTAAAAAACATAGCCTTCACATATCAAGCATAGCCTAAGGAAACACACAATAGCGACAATAAAATACGATCCTATCCAGAAACCCAGTCACTTAAAATAAAGCCAAGATTCTCTTATTTCAAACAATATAAGTGTCATTTCTGTAACATAAAAACTTACAAAGCCAGCCGTAAACAAACAGAGAACAACACAGCTCTTTATCGGCAGTCAGCAGCATAACGTCTGTCTTACGTTTGCTGATTTGCGATCATAATCCGTGTTCCGATGAAAAAATCCACTCGATTCGTGTAGTCCATTTTCCCACCGTCAAAATGAACTAATTCCTGACTGTTTTTGCCGTGTTTTGCTCCATACAGGCGAGTTAGAATTCCGCAACGCCATCTTACCCAGAAGATTGGCTCACCCCTTGGGGGACTCGTGGTCTTGTTGTTTCAGTTTGGACACAATGAAATGCAAGGCCACGCAATTCTATTGGCTAAGAGATTTAAGGCGTGATTTGAACCACACAAATCATCCAATGGGATCCTGAGATATGTATCCTCGCGTGTAACACGTCTTTGCCATGAGCGCATAATAGTTACGCGGTGTAGGCGCAGTGACACTTACCATGCGCACTTTCTTGTTTACAACCAAAACTTTCTTGAAGCTAAAGCTGAAATAATGGCCAAAGGAGGAGACGGCAGTGCTCAGGACATTTATTATCCCTCAAAGAAGACAAAGTCGGAAGAACGGGCGTTTTTGGATATCTGAAGAATGCCGAGCAACAGTTGATAGAAGACGGCTATCCTGTTTGCAGCACGTGCAGAAAAAGTGTCTGTGAAAGGCAGCAATGCTTCAAATCTCATGACACATCTGCGTGACCATCACCCACAACTCTACAGTCAACGCAAGGCAAGCTAACGTTAGCGTTTTAGCTAAAATGTGTGATCCGAGGATTTGGGTTGAGGGAGAATGCAACGAGTCGCTATATAAAGCAGCCGCAGCGCCGCTACCTGCATATAAACCGTGTCACGGATACCACCATGTTGAAATGACGCTTTGCATTACGGGGCTCCCAGGGGCAGATAAGAGTTGGTCTCTCTCTGAGAATAATTATGAATTTAACAATGATTACTGCCTGATGACATTTTCTGCAAAGCTCACTGGAAGGACACAAACCGAGGACAATATTTTCCTGATATAGGGTTTATTACTCAAGTAAGGGGGAAAAAAAGTATCTGATTAGAAGGCTACTTTAGTACTGAGTATCATCTGATCTAATATTTTTAAAATGATGACATCAAACAGACATAAAATAAGAAGTTATGGGCAAACATTGGTATGTTAAAGACTAAAGGTGAAAAATGTAAACAAATAAACAACAAAACAAAATAACAAATTTTAGGCAAAATTTAGACACAAACTGAGGACAATATTTTCCTGATATACAGGGTTTATTTAGTTGTCTGAAAATGTAACACATTTTAAAAAAATACTGCGATAATACCGAAAACAGTGGTAATTTTGGTCACAGTAACCGTGAGGTTAAAATTTCACACCGTAACAACTCTAATATATATATATATGTGTATGTATGTATTGTAAATAAAACTCGCAAGTTAAGTTCATTTTCCAACATACAGACAAACAAATGTGTGTCACTTACTGATATCATTCCGGCCTTTTGTCTGCTCCTGTCGTGCCAATGATGATGCAAGTATGGAAGAACCCCAACTAAGCTCACTTGGGTTGTTTTGCCCAAAGCTGATTATTTCAGTAACTTATCATTGCTTTTTCACAATCCTTGCATGAAACCTGGAGATTTTCTAGTATGTTGAGGTATCAGGAATGCAAATTGTTTCTTCTGTTTTCTGTTGCCTATAACAGACGAAAAAAAAAAAAATACAAGCATGTAATGATTCAGAGTTTGCAATCAAACCACAAATATATGTTCCAGTACTGATGTCATCTCAAAAGATCAAAAGCTGTGTTTAAGTAACAACAGTTTTTTAAACTTCATGCTAAAGCTTTAACACAGATCTCAATGATTGTCGAGTTAGAAACTTGACCAGTTTCATATTTGACACCACTCTGCAGACCTCTGCTGACCAAAAACTGCACTTAATAGTTTTGTGTGTGGGGGGGCACTCTTTAACTGCTTAACAGCTGTTAGCTGTAATGCTAGTGTTCAACATTTTCAGTTTGCTGATCGTCAATAAAAAGCACAAGAAGAAAAAGGAATTTGCTTTATCTTTTGGCATCATGGGCAGAGCCTGGAAGTAAAAGTAATAACAGTAATGTCTTTGAAGGCGAAGCCAATAGCTGCAACCAGAATGAACATTGGCACGACGTGCACTAGTTTGAGAGAACTAAAGGAGGCTACAAAATCACGGAGTGATGGTGACCTGGCTTCGTTGCTACTGGACTTATAAGTAATAATACTTTTTGTCAAACTGTGTGGAACTTTTTAGTTCTGGGTTTATTTTAGTATTAGGTGGCTCATGTTAATGTTAGGTCATTGTTAGCGCTGGCTACAGCAGAGTTGCTTCCAACAGTTGTAATTCAAGGAAAAAAGTATGTTCTACTTTTGGTACAAAATGTTAAACTATAGTGGCAAACATCAGAACAAAAAAAAATTGTAATGAACTTTACTTATTACAGCCCTACTGATGCAATCAAACAATCATTATTAATACTGGATAAATGAACTCTCCACCACACACACAAAAAAAAAAACTGAGAACTACTACTACTCTATATTCAATCAAATATGACATTGTCTTATCCTAAAGTAGACTGTAGAGGTATATAAAAAATGTGAGTATCATTAAAAAGTAGATTTTTTTTTGTCACTCATGTCAGCGTGGGAAACTCCTTATATAAATCTGTTACACAAAAAATTTAATATTTCAAGCCTTGATTATGCCGAGTCTCCCTTGGGAAACAACAGCTTTAATTATCTGTATGCATACTACAACCCCTAAAACGTTTTTATAACTTCAGAGAAATTATTTAATATATAACTTGGGAGCACGAACGTTGTAAATAGTTACAATAACTGTCCATATTTATGCAAGTAGATAAACAACGCAAAAAAGAGCGAAAATTAACCACAGACAATAAGTAGTTAAACTATTAGAAACAGGTGATAGTTATAAAATTTCCTGACCCAAACCAATTTTTTGTTCAGCTATCTGATTCCGGTAAATATTCTAATTAGTTTAAACAGCGTTTATTTGTGTTTCTGTATTAGCTCAGCGCATAAATATGAAGTAAGGGTGCGTTCAGGTACCATTCAGAAAGTAAAAATACACGTCTATCCTTACAGTAACAGTAAACATAACGAAGGGAGTGAGTCAAAAATTCAAGCCTTTAACTTTTAGCTCAACAAACGGGCTACATTCGTAGTATAGCCACTATTGGAAATAATTTGTTGCTACAGCCATGATCTGGTATAAAAACTTCATTTTGATTGTAATGGCAATACAGAGACTTTTAGAGATATCCTGTTAAAACTTATTTTTTCATTGGGCGTTCTTAGACAACAAAGCTGTGAAGCCTAATTCGAGCTAACAAGCTAAAGTACGCTAACGTAGCATTGTTCGGCATACATTCGGGTAGAAGTATTCACATCTGGACCAAACAAACACGCACATGTGATAATGACGACTGCCGAGTAAAGCAGCCAAGACATTAAATTCTCATTTATTTACCTCAACCTCGACGCATTTTACTGTTGCTTGACAGCCGTACAAGAGCTAAGATTTGGCTACTTCCGGTGACCTTTCACCTGGTTCTAGTTTCCTCTACATTGACCAATGAGTGACACGTATTTCAGGAACTACTTGCATCAAATGTCTTTTTGAAGGTGCATGCATTGTACTTTTTAACCACAACCACAGATTTTACATATCTGCACATGTATTTTAGCCTGGCAAACAAGACTAAATATTTTATTTAAAACTGTGCAAAGCAAGAATTTGGTCTAGTTCACTACACGTATTTAAGATAATTTTTAAACTTTTAGTTGCATGAACTGAGTAATAAAATTACCAGTGTTGGGAACGTTACTTTAAAAAAGTAATTGGTTATAGTTACTGATTACTTTGTCAAAAAAGTAACTCAGTTACTAAGTTACAAGATTATAAAAGTAACTAATTACCAAGAAAAATAACTACTTAGTTACTTTTTTCAATAAAGCATGCAAGAATTACTACAATACTGAAATATAAATGACTAATGACTGGAACATAATAAAATGTATGTCCAAATGTTTTTATAAACCTGAATAATTTAAATAAATAAGCACTTAACAGGAGGAACTACTATCAGGAGCATTACACTTAACTAGACTATTAAAAGGTCACTGTGTGATATTTATCAAGACCCCAATCAGCTAAAATTTAAAATTGCAAATAGAAACACCTGTAAAGGTTCCCGAGCCTTTAAATGGTCTCTCAGTCCAGTTAAATTACAGAAATGAATGTAATTTTGCACAGCATTTTATTTTTTCCAGCTTCACATAATTGTGTGTTTTAGTAGCATTTCTGTTGCTGTTAATCTAGTAATGGTTAAATAAATAAATAAAATCCTTTAAAATGACACTAGAAGAGGCACAAAGCTGATGGAGGACTCATATTTACTAACTTGGGTCAGACCCAACCACAGAAGAGCTGAAGCTGGGCGGTAAACACACACAGGTAGTTCTAATAACACCTGAGCTCCATGATGTTAGAGACTGATGCATCAGTGTTACAGCGGGACTAAAGACATGATCAGAAACAGGTTACAGTTGGATGATCTGGGAAGGTAGAAGATCAGGACGTCTGAGCGGTGAACAGGTGAGCGGACCTTCGGGACGTCCCGCTGTCACGCTTGATTTATGCTTCTCCGTCTGCGTCAGTGCGGACACACGCAACGCCATTTGTCTGACTTTTAATCTCAGAATTCTGACAGGGAATTCAGGGAAATAAGTCAGAATTCTCTTTCTTTTCTTTTTTAATAAGGCAGGAAGGAAAGATGAAAACAAAACCCATGATGACAGAACCGAAGTGTACATTCTTCTACCCAACGGAAGCAATACACACATACTCTAAACAACCGTTCAACTACCAGTTTTAGGTTCAAAGCTTTCTAGAACAATTATCTATAAGAAGAAGCCGATATTTTATATAGCACCTCTCAAAATAAACATCACAAGGCGTTTCACAAAAGCAAAAAAAAATTTAAATAAATTATAAAAAGATTTAAAAAATGATTTAAATATGTTTAAAAGGAGGAAAGAACAAAAAATGTAAGAAAAGGGAGAGAGAAAATGAATAGGAATTTAAACATATTTAATGATCAAGACTAGGACCGCCAGAAGGGGTCAATTTGGCCTCTTGCATTTTCAACCTCAAAGATGATAAAAAGCACATTAACAGTGGCCACATTATGTCAAATATTTACATTTGAAGTACTTGTTGTCCCATTCATTACTTTAAATGTTACATTTGTATGCATTTTTAAATAATATACATGAAACACGTGTTTCCGTACAAGTTATTGCAGGAAAGTAGCTTAAAAACTAAACAACAGACATTCTAATGGCAGATGAACAAAAAGGAAATGATGTGATCAAACTATCATTTATTTTTACAAACAATGAAAAATAAATTAACACTAAACACAGATCAGCAGGAAATAACATATTTTGAACGTAACATCGATTAACTGAATTCTGAACTCAAATTAATCCACCAATAAAATAAAAATTGCTTATTGCTTCATAACATACTCTTGCTTCAAATGATGAAACTCAAAAATGATACTCACAGTGGTAAACTACTCACAGTTCATGCACACGCTGTATGCTCTGACTGTACATTGTCCACACACTGGCTGCAGGCACTTGACACATGTCTTTGAGGTTTTGTTTTTTGCACATTTTCGCCTGATTGTGCAGCTTCTCCTTTTTCCTGTGATGAGTACAGTTGGCAGGCTTGATGAGATGGGGATTGATGAACAGAGGACATGTTCAACCCTCAGCTCCTGGCAGAGCTCCAGGATGAACGCTCGTCTGGTTATTTTGGAATCGACGCAGCTCCGATACAGAACCCATGCATTCAAAGCAGCAATGTCCAGGATGTTGTAGAACACCGCGACAGGCCATCTTCTGGTTGCTGCTCTTGATGAAAACTGTTGAAGAGTCTTGTCCAGGATATCCACTGCCTTCCGTGTCCTGTTGTAATATTGGACAGTGCTTGGTTTTTTTTTCGGCCCCTCAGTGATCTCTACGGATTTGTGCATGGTGCTGAGAATGCACACACTTTTCCTCTCTTTTCGTTGATAAATTGTCAGAGTTGCCCTTTCGCTAAGCATCACTTTAGTGTCATAAATGTGCGCTTTCTGGTGCACAGAGAGGGGAAGTGATATTTTGTTTTTGGTGATGATACCCAACAAGCTGGTGTTTTTTTCCAGGAGTGTGTGTGCCAGGTGGAGGGATGTAAAGATGCCGTCAGTGGTCACATTTCTCCCCTCCCCAAGAACAGGCTCCATCAGTGTCAGAACTACATCTTCCCCAAGTCTCTGTGTGGTAGGGTGGCTCGGATCCTTTCCCAAATAGGGATACCCATTGAAAATGTATTTTGTGTCCACGTCCACAGCAAGCCAGAATTTAATGCCGAATTTGAACGTTTTTTTGGGCATGAACTGTGTAAAAGGGCAGCGTGACTTAGTGGGGAACAGCTGCTCGTAAATAGTTATTTCTGCTCCTGGTTTAAAAGAGGCTAAGCTGTTTTGAATAAGCCGGTCCCACACGTTGCACACCAGGGCAAATTTGTCATTGGACAAGCGAGTGCACCGTGTGTGTTTTTGGTCAAACCGCAGGAAGCGCATGATATCCCTGAAGCGGTTCCTTGACATAGTGGAGGTGAAAAAGGGAACACCCCATTCTTTTGACCATAAACCTTCCACACCCGTGTCCCTCCTGTTATGCACACCTCTGGCTAAAAGAAGCGCTATAAAGGCTCTCAGTTCAGCAATGCTCAGCTCCCATTTTTTCTCTCCACACCGATGAGCTTCTGCAATGGTACAGTCACAGATGTCTTGCAGCATGACACGATCCACGAGACACACAAATGCAGTTAGAGGGTCTCTAATATTGTGGCATGAATATGGAGTTAGACCTTCTTTCTCTGTATGTATATTTTGTGACTGGAACCTCCCTCCTGTTGCTTTAGGCTCCACAGGGGTCCACACAGTTCCATCTTTGGCTGTCTCACTGTGGCAAGAATCCAAGGAAGCAGTAACTAGGAGTAAAAAAAAAAAAAAAAAGCAAACAAATAAATATTTACATGCAAATGCTGACTTAATAGTTTGTTTCAGTCTGGGCTGACCTGCTGGACCATCCACCGATGGCTCTGATGATACAGGATTGTTGGCGAGTCGACTCTCTCCAGCCGCTTGAAGCCTGGGCCTCTTTTCTGGCTCATCATAGTCAGATGATGAAGAAGAAGAATCAGGACTAAATGTCGGGTCACTGACTTCATCGTCCTCAAATTCTTCTATTTGACCTCCGTCGGAGTTTTCTGCGCTAATGTCCTGGAGCATTGTCAAAACATCAACTTTCAATCTTCTTGTCCGTTTCTTCGTGACAAAATGTGAAGACTCTAGCTGACAAGAAAACAGTGCTCTGTAAAATAAAATTCTAATTTGACTGTTTGTCTGATTTTTTTAATCAATATATTTTGTTACATAAGCAAACTATGAAACCGAATCTGGCGCTACCACTGATGAAAACAAACAAATTGCCTTAAAACATTCTGTAGTTTTCCATAATGGTAAAAGGACATCTTGACAGTTCTAGTGTTAAAAATTATATTCGAACTAACAACTAGAACAAAACTGTTACAATGACAGAATGCAAATCTTCCTAGTTGTGTTATTTTACAGATGCTTGCCTTGACATGAAAAAGGAAACAGTTTGAAAGACAACCGTAGATTCCACCCCACCACTGAGCTCCGTCTGTTGACTTTCATGTGTCTGTTGAGGTCTTTTAGTTTAGTATACGTTTTACCACAAGTTTCACAGAAACCCGACCTCTCTTCAGAGTGAACCTTCAAGTGTTTTAGAAGGCACTTATTTCTAATAAACTGCTCATCGCACTCTGAGCAGCTGAAGGACTTTTTGCCAGAGCTACATTCTACAATGCCATGTGCACCTGACTCGGGTATGACAGTTTGCTTCAAATGCTTTCACTTTCTTCTGTTTCAGATCCAAAAGCAGGAGATTTCTGCTCATCATCACTATTACTTACATCAATTTCAGAGGATTCTGGATAATCTTCATCAGTATTTGGCTGCAAGTTATTATATGGGTCTGAGATGCAGGCGGGTTCTCGTCTTTCATTCGCCTCTCCGACAGTCTCTGAGATCATCTGTTCAGCTGAGATGCTGGTCTGACTTTCTTCCTTTCCATTTTCTTCAGGTTTAATTTGAAGGATTAAGGACTGTGGTTTCTCTTCATCTTCTTCCATCTTTACAATTTCAGCAGTGAATGAGAACCTCAGTTTGTCCTCTTCAGCCTTTATGTGCACAGCCTCTGGATCATGCTCACTTACAGTTGAGCTCCAGGGAACCTCTTCTATATTGGGTGAAACTAAAAAAAATAAAATAAAATAAAAAATCAGTTAGAAAAATCAGGTAATACATGACCTATTCAACCTATTTGATTATATATTATTCAAAGGTGCATTATGAAAAATATAATTAAAAATGACATTCTGTGGTGACATTTGGTTACTGCAGCCCATTTTCCAAACAAAACAAGTCATTTTCTCACTCCTGTTTTGCGGCTGTGGACACCTAAGTATCAGCACCAGATTACTCTGGATGACATGCAAAGATGAGTCATGCACAGTAAGTTGGTAAGTAGATAAATATTTTTCACTTGAACAGAGTTGTTGGAAATGAAACACTAGCTTGAGATCTTCTTACAGCTGACTATAGGGAGTCTAAGTCACACCCATCTACTTCCAGACCACGGGTCCCTGGAAGAACGAAAAAACGAATGCAAGTCAACGGGGCTAAAAACACTACTTTCTAATTACGCTTGTTGTGTGCCATGGATTCCACATATGATGTCTGTGAATTTTAAAAGTGCATTTTGCTACCAAGAACGCGCGTATTACTGAACGGGGAAAACGTTTTTTAGATTTTGTGTGAAAATACATCCAGGACTACAAATGTGCATCACCAAAGAGACGTCATCGAAACAGACACGGTGAAATAAAGAGGTAGTGAACTTCAAATCCTTCCTTCAGGAGGAAAGAACCATCTTAAATTTTGCCATTTGGTAAGTAGCAGCTACGCTAGGGGAGTGAAGATTCTGTGGTGATGTCATATATGCGACGCGCCAAATTGTAGTCATGCTAATTACAAACTTTTACAAGCTGTTAAATAAAAGTACTTGACAGGCATGGCGGAAACACACATCATTACTTTTTATTTAAATTGAAATACAACATAGGTGTTATTCAGGGCTTAAGACACAGCGGATTAGAAAATAGCTCTTTTAGCCCCCAGTCACTTGCATTCTTTTTTTTTTCCATGAGCAGACTGGAAAGGGAGGAGACTTAGGCTCCCTATTGGCTTTTGTTGTCAAACAAACATTCACAAACTGCCGAGTTACAGTTTTTTTTTCGATTGCTAAAACTCAAAAAGCAAAAATGAGGCACAATTTTCACAACCTCTACTTCTGTTCCCAATCACTTGACTCACTTTATCACTACTTAAGATTTCCTTATCATATTAGAACTCTGATTTTCCCCCTTTACACTCTGATGCCAATTTCACATTACTTTGCTGTCAAAACACAGCACACAATTTTCAGGTTTACACACACTTCTCACATAAATTCTCAAAGCTTCAATCAACAACACACAAATATTCAAATCTCTAAACTTTCGGGTCTGGCGAGCAATTTGCAATCAGGGACTGCAGCATAACAGTAAGTTTCCACAAGGCTACCCAGGTGTATGAGTGGTTTCAGGACCACCCACGGTTTTTCATTTTATACCTTCCACCTTATTCCCCCCTTCCTCAATCCCACTGAGGAGTTTTTCTCAGCCTGGAGGTGGAAGGTGTACGAAAGGCATCCAGAGTGCCAGGTCCCACTGCTTCAAGCCATGGAGGAGGCTTGTGGAGATGTGGCCTTTGAGGCCTGTCAGGGCTTCATGAGGCACTCGAGGCGGTACTTCCAGCACTGTTTGGACCAGGAGGACATCGCCTGTGATGTTGATGAGGCCCTCTGGCCAGACAGAGAACGGAGGCATGATGCCCCATCATTATGCTTGAATGGGAGAGAGAGAGGGGGGGGGGGGGGGGGGGGTAACTGTAAAAATAAAATGTTTTGTCTCAACATTTGTGTGATGTCTAATGTTTGTCTCAGAGAGAAGTTGGCACAGTCATACATTCAGTTTGTAATTCATTGTGTTCCATTTAGACAATTGTGTTTTCAGTTTTGCTCTTCAGTGTTCTTTCCATGCTTGGTAGTGTTCACCCAAAGGCTACTTGTGTTTAAGCAATGAATGGTATGTGTGTGTCATGTGAAAATGTGGCTGTGTTTACCAAATGAAAACACGTGTTCCATTTTGGGAACATGTTACGATATGTGACGGCAGGGTTTTGTTGCAAAGGGAAGCCACGGTTTAGGAATTTATGTGTTATGTTTGGGGTTTTCTGTGTGCAGTTTCGAAAAATGCATTTTAGCAATCGAAAAAAACCCTGTAAATTATAGGTCAGAAGCAGCAGTCGCTCACTGTCATCTACAACAGTATAGCCCTCACAGACACCTCACATGTTCTTGATTATTTCTATTGACCCTTTGCACATGATATCACGCCACTCATGGGACCGCCCCCTTAGCCTTTATAGGTGGCAGAAAGACTGTTTACACAGGCTGAAACATTATTGAAGCCAAACTTTTTATTTGAATCAGCTCCAGCGTAAAGTGACATGCAGTTTAGCATGTTATAAGTCCAGTGGGGGGAAATCTGGCAAAGTCTGGTACTTGTTTACATCGGTGAATAGCAGCAGGGAGAATGTAAGCTAACATTTGTAAGCTAGCTAACACATACGTTTTGTAAATACCGACCAACCTAGATGTGCCAAACCTTTCCACGAGTAAAATGGGTTTGAACTAGTAGAAACCAGGCTAAACTGGCACAAAAAACCCAAAAATAAATAAATAAATAAATAAATAAAACGAGTTGCCACATTTCCTCTCCGTTCAGTGCTCCCGTAATTCACTGTTGCCTCACCTATGAGCTACTTCTTCTAATAACTGAACTGGGCTTTAACTAGTTCAAGCCATGCTGAATATCACAAAAAAACGACAAAAAGAAAAAAAAACATTCTCAGGTGCTACTTTTCCCTTTGTTCAATACTTGTTTCGCTCACTGTTTACTATGCTTTGCCATCCAAGATGGTGGACCCATGTGATCTGGTGACGTAGGTACAAAGGGTCAATACCATGTGTAGGAAACCCTGGTTCTAGAGAGCCACAGTCCTGCATGTTTTCCAGCCATGCATGAACTTGCAGCTTTTAATTAGCTGAACACACCTGATCCAGGTAATCAACAGAAGGAACAACAAAGATAGTTGGAAAACAAGCAGGACCGCGGCTCTCTGAGACTAGGGTTGCCTACATCAGGTGGTCGGTTCAGATGGTTAGCTAATAATGTGTGTGTCTGTGTTTACAGAATCAGGTGTCTTTGGAGCTGCCAGTGGAGGCTTACAGCTGTGCTTTGTCATAAAGAAATTGCAAGTCTAAAATGGTGCCTGTGATTCCTTTATCTTACTAACTATTTTCATTTTCAGTCAGTTTGATTATTTAGGTCACCAAACAGAACTGGGATCCCTGCTGAGTGATTTTAAGGACGTTTTTGCTCACAATGCTAGTTGGATCCATTCACTTACTGTATTTTATGCTAAGCTAAAGCTAAAAGAGTACAGCCGAGTCAGGAGAATGACTGGGCTGGTTAAAAATGTTTTTTCCCTCACTTATCCAATTCTGGGAAATATGTCAACAAAATATAAATTTTGGGTGGAATATCCATTTAACATGAAGAAAACGCCACACTGATGGTTTTGGGCCGAATTATTAAATTTTAAATAAGAAGCACTAAAATGCCACAGTAATGACTAGTTTATCAACAAAAATGTTGATTATAGGGTCTTGTTACCTAACTTGCATGTTTTTGGTCCGTGGAGGTAAACAGAGAAAATACAGGCAAGCTTAGAGAGAATTTACAAATGCTGAGAAAGGTCCAGGCAAGGTGTTGTACCTTCTTTGGTACCTTTGTTATGTTTTTATTAGGTTAAATCTGATCTTTCCACCTGATTCCAGATCCTTTGAAAATCACGTGATCAGCCCTGATTTCTGATCACATGATTGAATCGGAGCATCCCTGCCTACTACAATTAATATATTGGCAACTCAGAGCTTTACAGAAAAATTTAAAGATCTGAATGGACTAAGGGGGTGAGGGTGGTACAGGAGTTAGGTGCTTGCCCTGTAATCGAAAGGTTGCAGGTTCGAGCCCCGCTCAGTCTATCTCTGTTGTTGTGTCCTTGGGCAAGACGCTCAACCCACCTTGCCTGCTGGTGGTGGTTGGAGGGACAGGTGGAGTCTGTGTACGGCAGACTCGCCTCTGTCAGTGCGCTGCAGGGCAGCTGTGGCTACAATGTAGCTCATCACCACGAGGGTGTGAATGTGTATGTCAATGGGTGAACGACTGGGTTGTAAAGCGCCTTGAGGGCTTCCAGGACTCTAGAGGGAGCTATATCAAATACAGGCCATTTACCATAAGACATGACCACAGCTTTATGGGGTGTTAGATTCAGATACCAAATAGATTATTCCTCCAAAAATAGACAATATTAAGGATATCTGAAAGATTCTATTTGAGTCATAAGGATATTACAAATACGTGTCTCCCGTTTCCAGGGTATTTTTCCAGATAATGATTACTCAGACAAAGACCAGTGAGGATGCTCCGATCCAATCACTTGATCGAAAATAAGACTTGATCACTTGATTTCAAAAGATTTGGAATCGGGTCGAAAATCATTCTGAGATAGATTTTTTCAAGTGGAATAACAATGGCTTAGTTCAGTGGTTCCCAACCTTTTTCCCAAGGGACCCCGTTTTTTTACCAGTAAAATTTTTGACGACCCCCTCCCATTCTCTCTTCCAGTACAAACAGTATTAAGAAATGATAAAATTGTTCAAGCACATTTTAATATGCTTTGATTCAATAGATAACAGTAATAGTAGGCTCCAGTACAGAACAAAGTCATTAAAATACCAAACAGAGCGTAATGTGCTTGACAGTTTGTATTACTTCTCTGAACACATTGTTTCTTGTAAACACTGATAAATCAATCATTCCTTTCAATAAACGTTTGACACATAAAAATACACTGAGCAAAATGTACTTAAATGTGTATATTACTGTTTATACTAGATTATTTACTGTAAAGGCTGTGATTAATCAACCAGTCCTATCTTTAATGAACTTTTGACACTTGAAAATAAAACAGTGAGCTGAGCAAAATGTTCCTAAAAGTGTGTTACTTTTTCTGTACTAATTATTTCCTGTCTTAATATCAGTAAACTTTTCACTCATGAAAAAAAGAATGTGAGCAAAATGTAGACTATAAACATGTAATAAATGAAGTTTTAACCCCTTAAAGTGGAAAGGTCCTGGCAACCCACTGAGAGGCTTTGGCGCCCCCTTGTGGGGGTCGGGACCCCCAGGTTAGGAACCACTGGCTTAGTTTACATTTCAACAAGTTCCTCTACATCATTATTTTTTGTTTCCTGGACAAAAACAACATTGTAAGGTCACACAATTACAAGAGGACCAAGCTGTTGGCTAAGAGACTAATGCAGGGCTAACATGTCGCCTCAGGAAAGCAAAAAAGTCTGTAGTTTGACGTATTTCAAACCAGACAGCGAAGACAGCGCAACAGCCACTTGTAATGTGTGCAAACTAAGCATTTCATGTTGTGGAAAAGACAGCTGCAATACAAAGCTAATATGCCACCTTCAAAACCAATTCCTTGTTTCTCTTTCAGCTTTTCCCTTCAGATGTCGCCACAACCTATCTCCATTAAGTCCAAGTCTGCCACTAAAACACCCACTTCACTGTGGCACCTTGGACAAAAACAGGGAGCCGACCGACACGGATACGCTAATAAACAAAGAGAAACTGCTGATGAACAGCATACCGTCGGGTTTCACAGTCTGCTGAAGACACTGATGCCTCATTGTGAACAAGATATACGTTATTGGCAGTGAACAAAGAACATTTTTAAAATGCTTTTGTTTTTTGATAACACATAATGATGGATATGCTCTGGTGTTATCTTACTGTGAAGATAAATGTGTCACTTACTGAAACCTTTCTGGTCTTCTGTCTCATCCTGTTCTGATGCTACAGGAACCAAAACAAACTCACTGGGATCTTCTGAATGAAGGTTTACCATCTGAGACATCTTCACTCCAGCTGTGATTCTCCTCTTCACTCTCGTTGTTTGCAGCTCAGATGAGGATCTGCAGGTTTGTTTTAAGATTTCGGAAGTTCTCAGGTGGATCTGTTTTCTGCTGCTCGTCTATCACAGATGTGTTACACTGAGACACAAACGTCAAACATAAGTCAAACATCTGAGAACTTTGAGTAAGCATAAAAATGCAATAGTCAAAAAGAGGCCTGATTGAAAAAACAAGTGTGATTTCTTGAAATGTATATAAATCAATTAATCAGATCAATTAAGCATATATATATATATATATATATATATATATATATATATATATATATATCAGACCAGATATTATGTGTTGTCACTTACCTGCAAATAAATACATATGAAATCATTTGTTTAAAGGTGCAATTTGTAAGAAGCCTACTGTGAAATAATCAGTAAATGGTCTAATGTCTCAATCATGTTTGAAGGAAGATAATAGGGAGCCTAAAGGTTGGTTCATGCTTGACGCGTCCGCGAGGTCCGCACGGCTCCGCGCGGAAAAGTTGCGTCATTTTGCGTCATCTTAACAACCACGCCCCTCCAAGGCGCCTCCGTATGGCCCAAAATTTCCGCAACGCGCACCTAGGAAATTTTCTAACCACGCAGACGGTCGGACGCTGAAAAACATGGCGGACCGGCAAGAACTAGTATGGCAGAGGTTCGTAAATACAGACATTTGTATGATTCAGCTCTCAAAGATCACCGTGATCAACATGTTGTTAATAATTCTTGGAGAGAAATAGCTCGCACTGTCGGAAAAGACGAGGACGCTGTTAAAAATGCTGAAATGCCGTGTTGTAAACAGTAATTTCTACTTCTACTATGGTGTAGTGTTGGATGCATGCCGTAGAGCTCCATGCTGCCCCGTTCAGTTTGAGAGAATATTGGCTCACCGCAGAGACGAGCCGCATGAACCATAAACACTGCGAGTTGTGAAGCACGTTCCATCCGCGAGCCGCATCACCAGGCGGGAAGTGAATATGTCAAGCATAAACCAAGCTTAAGACTCCTCCCTTTCCGGTCGCCTCACGGTCCCTGGAAGACCGAAACAATGAATGCATATCAAAGGGGTTACAAGAGCTAGTTTCAAATCCACTTTGCCCTAGGCCCTGGATCGCACACATGTTATACTTCAATTTAAATTAAATTAAATGATGTGTGTTTCGACCCCGCCTGTCACATACTTTGAGATTTGGCAGCTTGTAAAAGTTTGTCGCCACAGAATCTCCTCTCCCCCAGCGTAGCAGCTCCTTACAACATGGAGAGAATTATGGTGGTTCTTTCCTCCTGAAAGAAGGATTCAAAGTTCGCTGAACTTACAGCCGTTTATATCTCTGCTCTTCTCCGTGTCTGGTTCGCAGAAGTATATTTGGTGATGCGCATTTGTAGTCCTACACGTTTTTTCACTCGAAACCTAAAATAATTTTTGTCCCCGTTCAAAAATCAGCGCTTTCTTGGCATCAGAATGTGTTTTTAAAATTTGCGGACATCATATGTGAAATCCATGCCACATAACAAATGGGATTAGAAAATAGCTTACATTGATTTTTTTTATTCTTCTGGTCCGGAAGTAAATGGGCGTGACTTAGGCTCACTATTAAATCACACTTCCTCTAATGCCAGATAAATATTACTGTAATGTGCAGTAAGTGCTCCCTACTGTAAAACACCCAAGAGTACTAACACCAGATATGACAAAGTATTTATCTGCTTATCAACTTACTGTGTATGACTCATCTTTACTTGTCATCTAGAATCTTCTGCTGCTGTACTGTTCCTGGCCACAGCCGTGAAACTCATGCAACAGAAGTGACCACAGTATTTGACTCACTGGATGTCATCCTTACACATTGCACCTTTAAATCAAGCTATAATTAATAATTTACCTGTCTCAAATAATAAGAATTATTCTGCAGTTTGAATTGAAAAAAAAATATTTTACATATGCAATGTACTATTGTAATCTCTATATAATTATCTTCATGTTAATTTTAAATATAAAATGTATAGAAACACATTATGCTGTTCTAAGGTTAATCCAAGATTAATTTGAAACAACATTTGCAACCTAAAACACATCCGCTCATAAGTCATTGGAGCTTTTTGAGGTTTTAATGATGCTGTAACCAGATGATCAGTTTCCATTTTAGGATGATATGTTTCCTGCAGAAGTAGATTACGATATATTCCCGTCACTCACATTAATCTGCTGGTATTGCACATCTGATGGCCTAAGTCCTAAATATAAATGCATCATTTAGCATCAAGAAAAACACGAGTGATCCAGATGACGCTGCTTTGTAATCACATGAAGCTAACAACTAATTTCCTTTAAATCACTTTGATTACCCTGCAAAACATGATTTCAGATTAAAATATTCGTTTATTCTCAGTGATTCTTACCTCAGGCTGCATCGATTTTCGTGTTCTTTGTTTTTGTCCGTTGCCTTTAATGTGTTCGCTTCGTCAACAAACGTCTTTACGACGCTTCTTTATCAGTATTTGTCCTCAGTAATCAACCCCAGATTGTAAACATTTACCCAACTTCAACGTCCATTGCCGTATCGATCATAAAACCTGTTCTGGCGGCTCAAAACGCGGCTACAAGCAGGCAGACAGCTAGAAAGATATGCAACATGGCTAACACTCTCACGTAAACAACGCCGCCATATTGGAGAGGAAGATGTGTCAGAGTTCAAGTCACGTGTTCTTACTTCCAGGCTTTTAGTCTAATTATTAGAAGTAGAAAAAATAATATTGTACAGATAAGATCAAATGAAATGAGCACATATGAAAAGCTAAAGAGAAAAAAAATTCATGAAAAGAAAAACAAGAGACAGTAATAACAATAGTGTGAAAGTAACTCAATCTAAAAAAGAAAAATACTGTGCAGTATTCTCCCATCTTTTACTGGTAGCATTTTGCACCGACACAGGTGTTGGTTAGATTTAAAACACATCTTTTAGAACTGTTCAGCCTACAAATAAATGTATAAATAAGAATTCGGTTATCTGACTCAATAAAAAGAAGCCTATCAGATTGGAATGTTGAAGCTGCACAAACCCTAGTAAAACTCACAACGTTTAGATGTGTTACTCAAATATAAATAAAAGCATAACTTTGATATCACTACGAACTGTCGATAATTTTTAACTAGTGCAGTTGGGGAAATGCACACCAAGTGGATTTGCATAATGTTCATAATTTGTCTTTTGAGGACTTTTTAAAAGATTGAATCCCTGGTGTTTTCATGATAAAAAATAATTTCAAACGTCAGCCTGTTAACCTGTTAAAAGCAGCATCAGTGAAAACATGTGTTATGGCTGTAGCAATTAATACATATTAATTATGATCAATAAATTGTGACGATTCCATACAAATATGAAATATCAATCTGACTGATCTTTGAATATTTAATCAGAAGATTCTAGGGTTCTTTGCTTATTCAGGGACCATAAACACACTTCGTATTAATTCAGAGTCAGTATATAAATTATAAAATGAATTTAATTATTTTTCCTAAACTAATAATTTATACATGACAATATATGAATAATGAGATGTGGTGTGGTGGATGTGAGTTGTTGTGATGGAAGCTAGATGTTGTAGCAGACGTTCTTTTTATCTGAGAGAAATTGTGAAATCTGGGTGTGAAAGAATTTATTGTTTGTTATAAACTAGAGAGTTGTTTATTTATAAACCTCATCAGACACCAGTATGCAGGCTTACGATACCCTTGTATGAGTTGCTCCCAGCGGTCCAGAGGGTTGCTGTCAGAGTGGTGAGGTCACCGGACGTCGAAACCACAATACTCAGAGATTAGTAGCTTCCTCTGAGTTCAGCTTCCCCGGCCATGAGATGCAACCCGGGGTCTACAGATCAGGTGTCCAAGGTGGATGTCTGAGAGTTGAAGTAGCTCTGAAAAGAGCTGTTGTGTTTGTAATCACTTGCAGCGTCGCAGAAAGGTTTTTGACTTCAGGTCAAAGGAGTTTGTTTCAAAAAAGGCTTCTTTCCCAGTTTGGCCGAATTGGGGTCAGCTGGAAACCGAATTCCTCGGGAAGTAATTCTTGTTTTATTAAACTACTTTGATATGATTTCTGGCCAAGTTTGGCCAATCAGAATTCGGCACGTTTCTGAGTATTACCAACATCCCTCAGAAAGCCACGCCTTCCTTCAGATACAAAAATGTTTTTAACCTTAATTTGTATCTTATTGTAATGTGTATGAGTGTAAACAATGACTAACTTGTTAAATCAAACACATATTGATTTGTGATATAAATGGATCACTGTGAGAACAATATTCATTTCAAATTCATTGATTTAAGCACAGGTTATTCCAACATTTCATTTAAACATCTTGTTCATTCATCACATGATTATTTAACTTATAACTATAACACTGTGGAGTCTTCACTTATTCAGAGTGAAGATTGTTGACGTCTGGCTTTCACAGTGAGTGCAAGAACCTTGGGAGAAAATGTTTGTTTGAATGTTTTGTCTTCATGGAATGTCAACATGCGCTGAAAAGAACCTTCTGGATTTGGAGGCCACATAGAAAGTGGATTTATTTCTGTAGATGAAAGGTTTCTATGTTGATCAATGTATAGGTGAAAATTGACCCTTTTGGATGTTACATGGCTTTAGAACTACTTCTTTGTGGAATAATATAGGACCTCTAAAGCCGCTCGTTATAATTTAAGGTCTGTAGAAAGGCCCTTTCTTGTCCAGATCATCTCCAGGTAGCTGACCTCATGTTCCTGGTTCTTTACTTCCATGGGAGAGACAGCATAGTGAACTAGAACAAATTCTTGCTACTCTAAAACTTTTCCGGATTCACTCCCAAAAATGGCCATGGTCAGAAGGTTGAGTTTAAATTGGTTTATATAAAAGAAAAAGAATAGAAAAAAAGTACAAATACCACACCTTGACCACCCCCAAGCCACCTCCCATGATCGTCAGTCAAAAAAGCACCTATACAGTAATTTTTAACCTAAGCTCGACCCCACCCACTTGGTGACATGAATAATTTCTACCGGATCAGGACAAGGAAATGTGTAAGGATGTGGCTGTATGACACACCTTATTCTATATGTAAAGTTGTGAATATTTTTAGGGGTTGCAGCTAATCTGAAGTGAAAGAGCAATGCCAAAGTCATTAAAGTGGATGGATTGTTCCACACAGCCTAAAAGAGAGCTGAGTTTTGTCATTTAGATTGACCCTGCATTCTGAGAACACACAAATTATCTAACATGCTGCACTTATTACATTTTAAAAGCATTTTAATGCAACCAAATATAAATGACTGAAGCAAAGGTGAGATTGGTAACTTTACTAACTGTGCCTCGCCTCTCCTCTATTAGTGTGCCCCAAGGCAGCTGTGGCTGCATTGTAGCTTATTACCATCAGTGTGTGAATGTGTGTGTGAATTGACGAATGATATACTGTAGTGTAAAGTACGCTTTGGAGTCTTCTTGTTACGGATCCTGGGCTCCCGCTTCCTGATTGGCCCAGCTATGCTCCCTTTTTGTGTTCAGGACCCTGGACAGGTCCCCAGTCAGGCTGGCTTTCCACCTCTGCCTGCCTTCAGCACCCCAACTGCAAGCCATCAGCTGATGAGAGCAGATGGCTTAAAAGATAGCAGCTGTCAGTTCTCTGGGAGAGAACCACAGATTCACACACTGTCCATCTCCTCTCCTCTCCTCTCCTCTCCTCTCCTCTCCTCTCCTCTCCTCTCTCCTTGGATCTCGGTAGCAAACAGCTTTGCACACAAACTTTGGGATTTATGAAAGAAAACTTAGTGGAAAAATGTGCGCAACTTTAAGTTGACTAAGGACCTGGCTTAGCAACATTTTGGACATGGAGAGCACCTGCATTGCTGCTGCTGAGAAGGATACATTTATGAAATCCTGCAGCATTATCACTTGTACTGCTTCGCTTTCACACAGAACAAGACCCCCCCCCCCCCCCCCCCCCCCCCCCACACACACACACACACACACATATAGCCTGAAGCGCAAAATACGGAATGCAGAATATCAGCAGGGGGACAGATTGAGACAGAATGTCATCTGTGACAGTGTGTGTGTCCTGTCACTGTGACCTCATTGATCATGCGCCCTGGCTTCTTGGACAATGGAGATCTTGGTTTGGCTGACTGGTTAGCGCGTGTCAACTTAAAGTTGCGCACATTGTTCCGCTAAGTGTTCTTTCGTAAATCCCAAAGTTTGCATGGAAAGTTGCCTACGCAGTTTTCCGACCCCGTTTTGTGCGTAAGCAAGGTTGATAAATGAGACCCCTGAACCTCCTCCCCGAAGGTAGGGTTTCAAACAGTCCATGACCAGGGTGAGAAGGGTCAGTTGTTATCTGACCTGCATGTTTCAGAACACTGGAGTTGTACAGGTCATGCACTGGTGGAAGGCTGCATCCGATTACTTTCTCTGCTGAGCGCACTACCCTTTGAATTCTTTGATTGTCTCTGGCAGTGGCTCCTGCATACCACACAGTGATGGAGGAGGTCAGTACTGATTCAATGATGGCCATGCAGAACTGGATCATCATCATGGCTGTGTAACGTCCAGCAATGGTCAGTTTTCACCTACAGATTGACCTACATGCCACTGATCATCTGCAGACATAAATTCCATTCTCTAAAGTGGATTTTACATCCTAGCTTCCAACAAACATTGAGGGATACTGCAGTCTTGTTGACATTTCAGGAGGAACAAGATGTCAGGCTGTGTTCCCAAACAAAGCCTTCTTTTGATAACACCACAGGATTGCTCACTCTCCGAATAGTGACTATTTTCAGCTCATATGAGTTAATCAATCGTGAAATGAAACGAACAATAATGGTTGATGAATAATAATAAGGTCTTGATTAATCTGTGCTTAAATTAACAAGGTTGATTAATCTGTGCTTGAGTTACTGAAGTTTGAAATGAATGTTAATATTACATTGAAATATATCTATAAATATATATATATATATATATATATATATATATATATATATATATATATATATATATATATATACACACACACACACCGTAAATCCTCTAATACAGGCCCGGGCCTGTATTTGACTCAAGCTCATCAAGCTCCAGGCCTTTATTGGAAGGAGGGCCAGAATTAGAGGCAGGCCTCTATTTCTATTTGAGCAAAATTAACTAATGGTTCGCTGGAGTTTTTGACAATTAAAATTGAGCCCACATTTTCAAAGTTAAACACATTTCTTTTAACAACGGTAGTTTCTGCTTCAGCCCTCTCCCCCCTCCCCCTGCGCAGTGCCCCCCCCCCCCCCCCCCTAGTGCAGGAGCTTGTCACCTGCTGACAGCAGGCTGCTGTCTTTTCCGAGGACTGCATCTTGCCGGTCATTATCACGTGACAGCGACTAGTCGATGACAGGCATAAAAAGTCACTATAGTGAAGTCGCCTAGTTCATACAACCCCTATTGCTCCCCAGTGTTCTGCAGCACATGTTCTCTTTGAACTTGATATCAAATTTTCGCCTCCTCTTCGTCTTCGCATGGTTAAAGTTACCCTCGCAGTTACCTTCGCGGTCTATCACTGGCAAATCAGAAGTGAGACGATGACACAACCGCCCCGCGTACTTGCTTGTTACCACATTCCACCCGGCCACAATAAGAGACCGGCCATTATTCACCTCCACCGACTCCGACACCGGCCAAAATATGAGACCTGGCCATTAATTGAATACAGGCCTGTATTAGAGGATTTACGGTGTGTGTGTATATATATATATATATATATATATATATATATATATATATATATATATATATATATGTATATATATGATGATCAGTAATGTTTGATATGACAAGTGAATCATTTTCTACACTCAGACACAAGGTTCATTAGAGATAAATTAAAGTTAAGTTAAACATCATGACACTTCGATATTTTCTTATCCACAAATCAGAACATCCTGTATCTGAAAGAAGGCATGATGTTCTGAAGTTTGCTTGTTAACACCCCTCAACATGGCATGTTCCGATTGGCCAAGAAATCATAATATGAAAATATTAAAACAGAGCTCACTTGACGGTGAGTCAGTTCTAGAGAAAGCTACGGACAGGACACCTGGAGTGAACCCTCTTTAACCCAGAGCATTTTGACAAGCTGTCAAAAACCCTGCTACACGCTGAAGCTGACACAGCAAACGGTTCCTGCAGAACAAAGCTGATACAGTTCTGACTCCCTAAGAGTCCTTCTAGGCGCAAACGATTTTATCTATCTGTTGTGACTCGGAAAACATCTCTGGACTGGAGAGTCAGTGCTGTGGTTAATCTACCAAACCTCGGTGCCCAGCGGTCATCCGACCTCCGTGACCTCCGGATCCGCGAAGAGGGTCTCCAAACAAAGGGTGAGGTAGACACACAGATTGTGTCTGATGCCGTTTTCATAAGAACCAACTTCATAGTTTAATGCAAACCAAATTCTTTTTACACCCAGAACTCAGTTCTTCTAGATACAAGGTTCTGATAAACACACACCATTGAATCACCATACATCACATCCCATCCTCTTAAATTCATCCATCACAGTAACCTTGGTTAATTTGTCACGTTTTTATTTGTATAGAAAATAGATTTCTTACCTTGTATAAACCTGACTCTGTCTGAATTGAGACAAAGTGTGTTTGATCCCTGAAAAAGCAAAGAATCCTAGAATTTTCTGATTAAACACTCAAAGACCAAGGAGGTTGATATTCTATATTTATACAGACTATCACAGCTTATTGGTCACAAGTAAAGGTAATACATTAAGCTTAAAAGCAACGATATTTACCCTCTACAGCTGGCATGCAGAGCTTCCTCAGTTGACGCAGAAAGAACATCCTTTGCTGGGCCTTCTTGATGAGGGTATTGATGGACACCTCCTACTTGAGTTCATGGGTGATGGTGGACCCAAGGAAGTGAAAGGAGTTCACGGTTGAAATCTGGTTATGCTGGGCCGTGGAGCCGGTGTTCTCCTGAAGTCTACAATCATCTCCACTGTCTTCTGCTTGTTCAGCTTTAGGTTGTTGTTTCTGCACCAGGACGCAAGGCGCTCCACCTCTCCTCTGTATGCAGACTCATATCCATCTGAGATGAGGCCAATGAGGGTGGTGCCATCCGCAAACTTAACCAGTTTCATCGTCTGGTGATTTGAGGTGCAGCTGTTAGTGTAGAGGGAGAAGAGTGGAGGAGAGAGGACACAGCCCTGGGGCGTTCCAGTGTTGGTGGTTAGGGTGTCTGACACATTCATCCATTCACACACTGGTGATAAACAGGCTTTGGCAGCAGTAGCTCAGGAGGTAGAGCGGGTTGCCTCATGATCGGAGGGTCAAGGGTTCGATTCCAGCTCCCGCTAGGGGTATTCTGCTGTTGTGTCCTTGGACAAGACACTTCACCCAACTTGCCTGTGTTGGTGGTGGTCAGAGGGGCCGACGGCGCCAAATGGCAGCCTCACCTCTGTCAGACCGCTCCAGGGCGGTTGTGGCTACAAAGTAGCTTACCATCACTAGCAGTGTGTGAATGTGAAAGTGAATGCAAGCATCTTTGAGTGTCCTAAACAAGCGCTATATAAGTTCAATGTATTATTATTATTATTGTTATTAAACATTATTCCTCTATCACATTTAACTTTGTTTTTAGCTAAAAACATGATAGATCACTTTCATCTGCGGCAAAAACACAAAAGTGTCTGAAGACTTCAGCTAATCAAACATTCTAAGTGTGTGTAGGATATGATGTCTTCTGTTAAAGCAGCTGAATGAGAGCGCTGTTGAAGTGGAGGAGAGTGGGATGTGTGTGTGTCTTCATACTGACACCAGAATAGCCACTTAGCAGTCCAGCATAAACATATGTCCACTTGAGCAATCAGTGATGTTCCAAGTGTGTGAAATTGCATGCAGAGGTCGTCCTTAAAGCTGATGGCTGCAGGACTGAGTGATGAAGACGTGTTGAGACGGCGAGGCTGCAGGGAGGTAAAAACTGTTGGGGTAAAAATGAACAAAATAGATTTTTGTGACGTGCTTGAATTCTAATCTTCAGAAAGAACTCAGAACTGATGGATTAGACATGAAATTGCCTCATTTACACCGAATGCAGAACAGATGTGGATTGGAATCTGTGCAGCTTCCACAAAGACCAAATGTCCAATCAGAGCATTCACACTAGAAGAACCAAATGTGAAGCTGTGGAATCTTTCACCACGGTTTCTCTTGTTTCCTGGATGTCATATGTGAATTGTCATGAAGTTGAAAAGGGTACATCAGCCACAAACAAAGTGAGATAGACCCAAAGCTAACAAGCAGCAGGTGAAGCTGATGAGTGTAATCAGAGCAGGTGGAGCACGTATATAGGGTGAGCTCCAGCCTCAAAGAATCCACAGCACAAAGCTTCTTCTCCTTGACTTCAGTCAGTTGAGTTCATCTTGCTCTAGTGCGCTGCTGTTTTGTCTCAGAGTCATCATGATGTGGCAGTCTGTTCTTAGGTGAGTGCTTGTGTTCACTGACTGATGTGTAATTGTTGTGATGGTTGTTTCTGTCTGTAATAGTCTTTATCTCTGCAGTATTTCCTGGTTTTGCTTTCTGCTCTTCAGCACTGGAGCAAGTTTCCCTGTTAAGAAAGGTGAGTGACATTTGTGGCTAGAGGACTGAAAGCTGTTGTGCCAAGACTGATTTATTCATCTCTTCTCAGTCCCTTATGGTACAGGATCTGGTTATAAAGACAGTGGTGAAGGATTTGGTGCAGGATCAGGCTTCACCAGTGGCAGTTCCTTCTCTGGCTTTGGTTATGATGAATCTCTGGATGCAGGAATTGCTCAGATGGTTGCTGAGCTGATGGGCCTGAGGCCTAACCGTCCTTACGTCCAGTTCCCCTGGACCTCCGCCCATATTCCTCTGGATATGGTGGAGGAGCGCCCTGTGTACCCATCATCCCATGTTGTCCATTCCAGCAGTGGCTACCAGCGTGCACGAGACTTGCGTACCGACAGCAAATACACCCAGGAAACCTTTTCAGACATTCCTATGCCTGAAATGCATAAGGACACAACAGGAACTGGACATCAGTGGCATCACAAGAGCAAGTGAGGTGAAGATTAGACTAATTACTAGTTGACCTGCAAAACTGATGTCATACTGATTTGTTCTGTATTTTCCCCTTCCAGGTGAATATAATAAATAACTTCACTCATGTAATCTGATTTCTACGGATCATTATTGATGTGCAGGACACTAATGTGACATCCTGCCTGCATAACATGTAACTGAAAAGGCTCAAAGCTTATCCATCAAATAAGGGTGTTACATATATATATACTGGACAAACGTGATTGTGGGTAGCTTCTGCAGACAACTGTAGAGCACATGGCTGGACAATAGTGCCTTTACTTTCAGAGATGAAAGTGGTTTTACCAGCAGTTGTAGGCCTCCTGATCATTGACCTTTAACTAGGTTGCTTCCACTGGTAGAAAAAAGCTTGAAACATCACAGCTGCTTCAGTCTACTGTTCTGATTCAGTGTTAGAATAAAACCTGCTCCGTAGCAAAATGGAATTTAAAAAGGCCACTTGGACTAAGTGTTTAATCTGAGGACTTCAGTCCATCCTGTTCCAGTATTGCTGTTACGATGACTATAATCTGTCCTTAACATGTGAGGACAAATGTAAGATCTATAAATATCTTAATATGCCAGGCTGAGGGTAGTTGTGTAAATTTTCTGAGCACTAATATAGTTGAGTAATCCTATAGGACAAACAAAAGCAGCTTGTCATCTGAAGAGGAATCAGAAAATGCCAATTACCCCATCCATCAGGTGTCTTTCAAATCAAAGGCTGCAGAAAGTCTAAAAACAAAAGGCTTTGCATGATTAACTCTCGTATTTTCTGCTACATCTTGGTATGCTTGAAATATATTCTGGAGAAGCTTTTGAAGTTAATTTCCGTGCATGGCATCAGCTGAACCTGGATCAGATATCAAACTGAAGCAAAAGCAAGTTGAGACACTAAACACCCTGTTCCACAACTAGCTGTGACTAATTATTTTGGCTATTTGATACTAAACTGGCTTAATTCTAATTTTAGTCTGAAGATAAAACATTAAAACGTTTAAAATGTAGTCAAATCAAGTAGCTTACTAAACTTTAATATGACTTGAAAGAATGACTTGTGAACATCAGTTTGACACTAAATGACTTGACAACAGAGGCCTAATTAAATTCGAAAATTAAAGTTGAAAGTTAAATTTTTCACAGTAACTTTAAAGTCTACCTGTGTGTGAGGGACGTTTTGTCCATCAGCTCGGAGAGACCCAGCTGGGGGCTCACATGTGAGCATCCAGCCCCCTACAGGTCCAAGATCTGCCCCGGGATAACGTATCCGTCGGTGGGCTCAGAGGAGTTGAAGGGCATCATGTCTAAAGAAATTTCTGGCTCACACTCCAACTGTAGGATGGCGGGCAGCAGCAGGTTCCGGTGGTTTCGAGAATAGAAAGAAATGGGTGAAACCTCATCAAAGTTCTGCTCCAGGTCTCCCCCGGTGGGCGGTGGGATGAGTCTCTGCGCGCCAGGACCGACCATGGCCTCCTTCTGCATGGTGGTGTCGTGATGATAAGACACCAGCTCGTTGCTGAAGTCCACCGTCTCCACAGTGGAGGTGGAGCAGTACTTGTTGCAGCCCAGGATAGTGGAGAAGGCCTTTCTAAAGTCTGCGTTGAAGGCATAAATCACGGGGTTCAGGGACGAGTTGGCCCAGCCAAACCACACGAAGATGCTGAACGTGCTCTCGCTGACACACGGCGGTTCTCCAAGCCTGTCCGGGTCACAGAACGGAACTACACAGTTCAGAACAAAGAAAGGCAGCCAGCAGAACACAAAGACTCCCATGATGATGGACAGAGTCTTTAAAACTTTAGTTTCTCTTTTAAATGACGTTTTCAACGAGCTTTCGTCGTGCGTCGAGACGCGGTGGCGATGGTTTTGCGCACGGGGCCCCGCAGCCCTCTCCAAAGACGAGATCCGTCTAATTTGGGTCTGCGCGATGCGGAAAATGCGAGTGTATGTGCCCACCATGATCACCACGGGTATGTAGAAGCTTATGAGGGAGGATGAGATGGCGTAAGTCCGGTTCAGACTGGCGTTGCAGCCGTCCGGGCTGTCCGTGGCGTTGCCTGCGCGGTGCCAGTTGAGCTGCACCGGGATGAAGGAGATGAGGATGGACAGCGTCCAGGCGACCCCTATCATCAGGAAGGCGAACCTGCGCGTCATCTTTTGCTCGTACCTAAACGGACTGGAGATGGCCCAGTAGCGGTCCATGCTGATGATGCACAGGTTGAGGATGGACGCGGTGGAGCACATGATGTCAAAGGCGACCCAAGTGTCGCAGAAACGGCCGAAGAGCCAGATGCCGGCCACCTCAGAAACCGCCCTCCACGGCATCACCAGCACCGCCACGAACAGGTCCGACACCGCCAGGGACACAACAAACGAGTTGGTGACTTTGGTGCGCAGGTGGCGGAATTTAATGACGGCGACGCAAACCAGCGTGTTACCCAACAGGGTGGAGACGATCAGGACACACAGGACGCAGCCGGTCAGCGCGCGGAGGCTGAGATCTCCATCCGACCCGGCGCTGTCCTCTGTGGCTGTCACCGCCTTCTGCCGGTCCGGGTCTAAGTGGTCTTCGTTGGTAAAGCTCTCCATCAGTCAGCCCCTGGAAGGCGTAGCAGTCTCATAACATACTTTCATCCTCTTTCCAGACAAAATTAATATAAATCATTTATTACACCAGCAGAAAGACGCGCACAGATCTGAATCCCAAGGGAGACTGACGCTGGAGTCTCTGTGCAGCAACACTACCTGAAGTCAACTCCAACTCATGAGAACCTTCTGATTAACAAGAAAACCCCTTCTGATTTGGGCCTCGTTGGATTAAAGAATGTCCACAAAAGTGCAACAAGTACAAATAAACACGAAAAGCTTATAAAGCAAACAAATTGACGGTTGTGCACATTTAAAAAAGTAAACTGCATATTTTACATTTTGTTCTGAAAATCAAATAAACAAACAAAAGAAAAAACGTTTATTTGAAGGATGAATTCTCATTTTAAGCCTACTTTTGTTTTTCCTCGAACACTTCTAATAGTTTTACTTGTACAAAAACCTTTGAATGTATGTGCTTATGCAATTCTTTGTCAGTCAGTATTGTTGCGAAATTATTTTAAGTTCCAGTGTGTATTCTATAGCATTTACATACAGGGCAAAAACATATTTAGTCAGTATATTTTTGAAGTTCTCCCACTTAAAAAGATGTGAGGCCTGTGATTTTCATCATATACCTCAACTATGAGAGACAAAATGAGGAAAAAAAGAAGAAAAATCATGTTGTCTGGTTTTAAAATGATGTATTTGCAAATTATGGTGGAAAAGAAGTATTTGGTCAAGAACAAAAGCCCACCTCAATACTTTGTTATACTCTTTGCTGTCAATGATAGAGGTTAAATATTTAAGTCTTCACAATGTTTTCACACACTGTTGTTGGTATTTTGGCCCATGCAGATCTCCTCAAGAGCAGTGATGTTTTGGGGCTGGCGCTGGACACTTTTACCTCCCTTTAATGGGTTATAGGGTTGAGAACTGGAGACCAGGACCTTGAAATGCTTCTTATGAAGCCACTCCTTCGTTACCCAGATGGTGTGTTTGGGATCATGGTCATGCTGAAAGAACCAGCCATGTTTCATCTTCAGATCCCTTACTGATGGAAAGAGGTTTTCACTCAAAATCTAAGAATAAATGGCCGCATTCATTCTTTCCTTGCACGGATCGGTCGTCCTGGTCCCTTTGCAGAAAAACAGCCCCAAAGCATGATGTTTCCACCCTCATACTTTACAGTAGGATTGGTGTTGTTTGGCTGCAACTCAGCATTCTTTCTCCTCCAAACACGACAAGTAGAGTTTTCACCAAGTTCCATTCTGGTTTCATCTGACCATATGACGTTCTCCCAGTCCTTTTCTGGATCATCCAGATGCTTTGTAGCAAACTTCAGAAGGGCCTGCACATGTACTGGTTTAAACAGGTGTGTTACTGATAGTAGCCTTTGTAACTCTGGTCCCAGCTCTCTGCAGGTCACTCACTAAGTCCCCCGTGTAGTTCTGGGACTTTTGCTCATCGTTCTTGTGATCATTTTGACCCCCACAGGGTGAGATCTTGCGTGCAGCCCCTCGTGGGAGATTAGTGGTCATTCTTCCGGCTCTTGGAGAGTACAGAAGCTTTTTTCCTCCTCTCCTTCCTATCTTATCCCCGATGTGGAATGCTGCCGTCGCCTTGGCAACTCTGTCTCCCTATCCCAGCCTGGGCGGGACTGCGAGCTGTGAAGGACGCTGAATTGTTCCAGGAGTCACTGTGCTCTCTAAACCCAATGACCTCCTCCCCCGGTTCAGACTGAGGTGATGAGCGCTGCTTACCGTGGCTGCATTCACTGACGTGTGGAGAGTCCCAAACCCCACCACCCCACCTAGTGGACACTCATGTTGTGTTATGTCTGAAGTCTGTTGCATTTCTGTCCGAGGTGTTTTTTGCATAGCAAAGCTGCCGTCCCTGTGGAGGGTAACTCTGAAGTGCCTTTTCTTTCCTCCACCTGACCCAATCCTCATGTAAACCCCTCTGATCTCTATGAAGGTAGTGCGACTCGGGTTGCGAATGACCACAGTCACCAACTTTTGTATCACGGCTGCCAGCCTGGAGAGGAAAAGCATGAGCCAGGATCACCCAGCCCTAGTGACCAGCCTGACACCGCCCCTCCTCCCCCACTCTCCCAGGCTGCTGAGGAGCACAGCTGAGCTGAATCCTGTTAATTACCAACACCTGTATAAAAAGGCTGTGCCTTCAGCAGTCTGGGAGACAGACATTTATACAAATTAAAGGGAAAGGTTGGAAAAAGGGAAATCATTTAAATGAGTAACAGAAATCAAGCAGTGATAACAAGGATGAGACTGGGACATACAGCTTTGAACAGTACACTTTTTATTCTTGGACGGCATAATACCGGTATGTGTGACTGTAGACTTGATAGGGAAACAGTAGAACATGTATTATGTGCTTGTAGGAAATATGTGGGTAATAGGGAACTGTTGGTTAGAAACTTGAAAGTTAAAGGATATAAGGAATTTGAGTTGGGTATTCTGTTAAATGGGGGACTATAGGTGTATAAGTTAGTCAAAGACTTTTTAAGGGACAGTGGATTACTTGTTAGAATTTAGTTTTTTTGTTTTGTTTTTTTGTTTTAAAGTAGGATACTCCCCACTTCGACTCACACTCTCATTCAGTAGGTGGCGGAAATGCACCTGAAAGTTGGGTGCCACCCACCATTAAACACGAAGAAGAAAAAGTCTGGGAGGCAGCAGTGCAGGGGTTCTGCTGTCCTCCCGGTTTTAGTTTGGTTTCAACCCCTTTTGTTCGGATGAGGTTTAACTGTGGTAGTTTTTACTCTGAGTGATCCAGTGGGATCTTTTGTGTGTCTGTTTTTTAAAGGTTAACTTGGTTTGGTGCAGTTTTACTGACTTTGCTTTTAAACACCTTCGTTGTGGTAAAGCTTTTTAAACTAAGTTTTTACCAGGGGTTTTAGTCAGATTGTTTTAGACTTTTATCAACTTCGGGTTTTTAAGCACACCTTTGGTTCGGTAAAACTTTTAATATAAGTTTTTACCAGATGTTTTTATAGTTGATAATTTGTGACGTTAACCTTTTAGAGAGTTCTGCTTGTTTTTGGCATTATCTTTATAATGCGCCATCTGTTTGCTTGTTTTTAAAACCTTTTGTTTCAAATAAAACCATTTTAAACTCCACCATCTTTCTTATGTTACCCCCTCCTTCGCTTTTTACCAACACCTGTCGGGGACGTAACACTTGTCATGTGTCTTTGCCTATGTATGTCTGATCTCAGAATTGTGTGTACTGAAACTCTTAATTTCTCTCTGGGATTATTAAAGTATCTTTGATTTGAATTGTCTTCCACTTTCTAATAATTGCTCCCACGGTTGGTGTCTTCATACCAAGCTACTGCAGATTCAGTCTTCCCAGCCTGGTGCAGATCTACAGTTTTGTTTTACTGTCCTCTGACAGCTCTTTGGTCTTGGCCATGGTGGAGTTTGAAGTGGGACTGTTTGAGGTTGTGGACAGGTCTCTTTTATACTGACAACAAGTTCCAACAGGTAACGAGTGGAGGAGAGAGTAGCCTCTTACAGAAGAAGTTACAGGTCTGTGAAAGCCACAACTATTGCTTGTTTGTAGGAAACCAAATACTTGTTTTCCACCATAATTTGCAAATGAATTTCTTAAAAATCAAAGTGATTTTTCTGGATAATTTTTCTGATTTTGCCTCTAGTTGAGGCATCCCTGTGATCACATGCCTCTCATCTTTTTAAGTGGGAGAGCTGGTACAATTGGAGGCTGACTGAATATGCCCCACTGTAACTGATATACAAAATAAAAAAATAAAATAAAATAAAAAGACCATTTAACCCTTTGATGCATGAGTTATGAAATCTTCAACCATGATCTTTTAAAACAATTTTTCATCTTTAGGTGTGAATGAAACAAATTTCAACAAACATTTTTTGTAACATTTAATAATTTACACAGTTTATTACACGTCCACCTCGGTGGATGGTGTGCATTCTGAAAATGAAATGGGTTGGCTTGACCTACTGAAGTCCAAATGGAGGGGCTCAAATGCAATAGTCTTCAACAGCTGCTTAATAGCAAAATAAATAAATAAAACATTTTGAGTACCTGCCCACTGTAGTGACCATTATGCATCTTACAAATGGAAAGATTCACTGTAAAGTCAGTGTTTATTTTTGCAGTACATTTAAATGCTGTGAATAAATAAATTACACTCTGTCGTTTCAGAAACGAGGGAATAAAAGGAGAAGATAATCTGCCCCCTGGTGGACAAACAATCACAACACAACAGAAACACAGCTTCAGATTTCAGTGACTGTGACGATCATGTTGCTATCACACATCATGTATTTGACTCGTTTCCAAAGGACAAACATTAGATTTTAGGAACTCAAACTGATTTATTTTAAAAACAAAAGCCAAACTCAGTTGTCACTCAGTGAGATAATTGATTCTTAATATAGAACACTTTTTACTGATTGTCTTAATGAACTGAACTATATTGGACATTTTACTTTGTGAAGTGCCTTGAGACAACTCTTGCTGTGATTTGGTGCTATATAAATAAACTCAATTCAATGCTTCCTGAATAATCTAACCGAGGGACAGAATTAAAAAAAATGCCATGCTATTTGTGAAAGTCAGGAGGTTCTGTCCATGCATCCTATAGGAAATAAAAAGACACATTATTCAAGAGAAAATTAGTTCTACTTCTTTGCATATTTACAACTAAAGGTGAATTTACCTGTCGTAAAAAATAAAGAAATAAAAAAAAACCCTTGGAAATGTTTGGATTTTTGTTCTTATAGGAAAAAAAGAAAGATCTGCTAGTGAGTTTATTTTAGGGCTCACACATCATAAACCTTTAGTAAGACAAACATGTTTTTTAAAAGATATTTTTTGTACCCGATGACAGTTTTGACTGAACACTTTAGTCTTTGTTTTAATTTATCTTAAATAAAAAGCAACGTTTGTCTTACTAGAAAAAAGTAACATTAGTTTATGACTCAGACAAAACAAACTTATTTAATACATCATTGACTTGCCTACTTTCTTACATTTGTGCTGTAAATTGTGCATATGTGCACAATTTATGTTCACCAGTAAACTAAACAGTTACATAACTGAGAAAAGCTTTAGGATTCATTGCATTTATTACATGTCAAAATTAAATATTTTAACCAGACCTAAATTTTATTGAGCTATCTTCTGTCAACGTTCTTCTTTACATCCTTCAAGTTAAATAAATAAATAAATACATAAAATAATTGTAATTACACTAACGTTATTGTGATTTGTGTTTTTCCCATTATCCTGAGACCTGATTTTTTGTAAATCATTAGCTCCCTCTGACTATTTTGGATTGGTAGGATTCCCCAGACATCAAACAAACAAACAAACAAACAAACAATGTCATCAAACATGGTTTTCCAATGCTTAGAAGTTCAATGTAGAAAAAAAATCTCGGCTAATCATGAAACTTGTGTTCAAATCCAGCTTCCCTAAAAAATAAAAGCAGTTCAACAGAATAACAGAGCTGTTATAGTACAGGAAATTCTAATAAGCTTCTAGATCCGCTTCAAAGGAAAAGCAAAATAAAAATAAAAATAAAAACTGACTGAACGTATTGAGAAGTTGAAATCAAATCAAGTCTCATCCTGTGACAAACGTGGTTTGGCAGCAGCTGGACACTCAGGGGTTATGTTTACAGGAGACGAGTGACGTCAGAGTCAGCTGTGGCTCGTGCGGGCGCCTTCCGCGTGCTCGCGCGAGTGTGATTGTGGATGATTCAGCAGCTCCTCCGGCGGCTGCAGTCTCTTTCAGCCGCTCGTCCTCTGACATGCGCTGCCCAAAGACCGCTTTCAGCGGATTTTAATCGACACTTGATCTCATTAAGGGGCGTGAGGGGTGGAGATGAGCCCGTGCAGGTGAGCACATCGTTAGGAGACCCCGTTTTGACCGCTGAAGTCTGGTTTCCTCAGGCCGGAGCGCCGCGGAGAGGCTGCCACGTTCTTCTCGCTCGGTCCCCCCGCAGGATCGTTACCGCCGTTTATCGGGGCGGTTCCGCTTCCTTGTCTTGTTCGGGTGGATTTATCAGCAGCGCACCCAGACCAGCCAGCTGCTCTCAGCCGAACACAGCAACACCGACATTTCCGCATTTGGACAGCTGGTGCTTCGGCTCTGCCCGGCAGGTGAGTTCTGGTATCTGCAAGAACAAACCAGCTTAAAAAGGTCATTTAAACTCACCAGAGTTCATTTTAATGGTGAACATGTAATATATCGCAATATTACCGACTCGGTTCATCTTTTAGGTTATTCCTTTATTTAGAAACTGCTTCTCATACAAAGAAAACGGGTAACAGTAGAAACACAAATTAACCAACGCATGTAATAGTCATCTAATGATAATAATACTAATAATACAATATCCCACCTGCTAAATTGTGTTTAGATTGTAAAACATAAAAACTACAATGAAAAGAAAGTTTCATTTAAATTAGCCAATACTAGCTATGATCACAGAAAAACTGATTATTTTGTCTGAAAACAAATGCATTCTTTAAAAATGTAAACACGAAAGTATATGTTTATTAAGTGACATTACAGTTTGACGTTGCATCCTTTTGCCTGAATGAAGCAGACCGTTTTTTCTGATCAGGTGATGTTTTTATTGGGTTGGAGAATGTGAAGAATGTTCTCAATGCTAATAACGGCTACAGTCGTATCCTTTACATCTGTGGCCTCACACGTTTAAGTCCTACGGCGTTAAACAACCCAAAGGCACCCCAAAGGGTCTAGTCACATGTAGAGATGCATCGAAATATCAGCTGGTAATCAGAATTGGTCAACACTCAGCATAATTGGTGCAAGACTGAATCTCAAAAATCAGATTAATTTCTTAGTTTGTGAACGCACCTTTGCTACATTCTTCTGCACACTAGTTGTTCTACAGAATCTGTTTCTCTTCGTTCTTCTGTTCAGTCTCAGAAAATGTGCTGTTTTGCTTTGAACTGCAGCTTCAATCCTCCTGATCCAGTGGTTCTCAGCTGACTCTGTGTTCTTGCTGGTTCTGCCTGGTTCTGAGTGCCAGCAGCAGAACAGAAGCTGCCTCAGCTGCTGATGGAGGGAACCTGCTGACACCGCGACTGATGGATCAGTGTGTGTTGCAGCTCGGCAGGGATCCACCTAGTCTTTCTTTTCTTGGGTGTTTCCACCAAGTCTTCACCCTCAGTCTGTGAGATATGTAAAAAAATAATATAAACAAAGTTTAAAAATTCTGATGGTGACGTCACAGAAAAAATGAAAGCAAAGCTGAAGACTCCGTTTAGCTTTTTCTGAACTACTCCTTTAGTTTTTAGGTACATTCAGAAAGTGGTCCATCTTTTAAGATCCCAGTAAGTAGAATGTGCTCAGGGACGTGATGACGGCTCATGGGTACAAACTAGGGCTGCAACAACGAATCGATAAATTCGATGAAAATCGATTACTAAAAGCGTTGGCAACGAATTGCGTCATCGATTCGTTGTGTTGCGCAACTCTTCCAAAAGCCCCCTCCCCTCCCGCCCGCCGTTGCGCGCAGACCGGTGGAGAGCCGGCAGGTGTTTGTAAGAGGAACATGGCAGAAGCAGCGAGACTCCAAAAAAGTAAAAACTTCTAAAGTTTGGGAGCATTTTCAGTTAAATCAGGTGAAGACATTCAACGTTTGTAGGTCAGACAGCATGGCGCGGGGATACTACGGTGATGATGCAGCGTCTTAAACGCAAGCATGTCAGAATCATCAGCGAGGAAGGAGAGAGCTCGGTGTCCGGGTAAGTTAAAAACTTTTCAAAAGTGATTCACCCAAGCCCCGGATTATTACACAGGCTAGACATGCCCTAAGCTCGTAAAAAAAAGTCCATAAAATTGTAAGCGCGACGCTATTAGATAGGCGGGGGAGGGGGGTGGGGGGTGGGGGGGGACTCGCGCCGCTGCGAACCGGTTCCGCCGTCACATTCCCGCAGAAACTGGTTGATCACACCGGGGCCAGACTACTAGCATGTGGTTTTACAACCACAATGTCCTCAAAAGCGAAAATGCTTTTAAAAGGGAGGGAGGAGTCCTAACTGTTGCTGCAGGCGTGTTGTGTGAGAGTGCAGTTATATACTGGTTAATATATTTTTGGGTTCAGTTGCTTTCATGTGGCCTAATGTGAGTCTATTTGGGATCATTGGAATGATCAGCAGGATTTCTTGATGTGACTTTATGGCAGTTGCCCAGGGCATCATCACAAGGAGGGTGGCATTCATTTACTTTTGTTTTAGTTGGTATTTTTCAGTCATTTTTGGAAATACGGTAGTGATTAATTTTAATTAATTCACAGCCTATGTTTAATTACATTTAAAAATTAGTTGTTTGACATCCCCAGTTATAATAAATGTCTACGGATGAGATCAAACAAAACAGATGAGAATTGCCCTTAAAGAGCAAGTCACCCCCAAATAAACTTTTTTTTTGCTGATAAACTAAATAAACGAGTGTCTAATCGTGCTGCAGACACGTGTCGTCAATAATTTGGCACTTCAGTGCATCTTAGTTCAAATTTAAATATTCTGCCTAAAACTGGCAGTGTTGTGCCGTTGTCAGGTAAAAACTCTGCACTGTATTTGAATTTAAATCTGCCACCGCTATTGGCTAAGAAGTATGATATGATGTAAACTGGTACATTATGATGTCACAATGCTGTCGTGAGCCTGAGTGTGTGTGTATTTGTTAGCGGCTCCGCCCTCTCGGTCTGCCAGGCAACAGCATGTGTTGCATTTTTCAAACATAAAGCAGGAGTGGAGTTAGACTCTGGTAGGGGTTGACTTGCTCTTTAAGCTGTTTAACTTGGACCAAGCATTTTAGGTCACAGATAGGTGTAGCTTAGGGTCTCTGTCTATACACCTTATAAGACAATTTAGGTGATGGCATGTTGTTTTTCTGCTATTGAACTGTTTTCTAATAATGTTGTGTTTAATAAAGTGAAGGAAGGAGAAAAATAACGTTTCCCTAGCAGTTTTTAAAAATGTCCCTATGTAATCCGATTAATCGATTAATCGTGTCGAGACCCCATCCGATTAATCGATTATCCAAATAATCGTTTGTTGCAGCCCTAGTACAAACGATGACTTTGGTTCCAGTTGATCAAAAATGCATTGTTTCCAGACTGAACAATTATTCAAAATTATTCAAAGTTCCACAGAATCGCTGCAGGGAGAGTCGGATTCTAGCTTTTGTCTTCTGCAGCGGTTTTCTCTAAGCAGAAGCCAAGTGTTGTCCTTGAGCATCCACAAGGACTCCAGTGTTAAATAGGGATGCAACGATACCACTTTTTTCCAAACCGATACTTGGATCTGAGTACTCGCCGATACCGATTACCAACACCGATACTTCTACCACACAAAAAAATGCAATGATTTGGAATACAGATTTTATTTTCTTCTCTCGTTTCAACAGGAAAAGACTGTGAGGTAGATGAAAAGTAAAATATATGAATAGAAATCATCACAAAACTAAAATATTAGGTGAACAGAAATGACAAGTTACAGTGAAGTCATTTTCAAGCAACTGCATTGGTATCTGTTCCTGGTATCGGTTAACTTTTACCAATACCGATGCTGATACTGGTATTGGTATCGGTGCAGATACCGATACCAGTATCGAATCAGTGCATCCCTAGTGTTAAACGATCCAGTGTAGTTAAAGAGAAAAACATTAAAATATGAGCCTCCACCTTATCAGTTGACATGTTTGACAGCAACAAAAAGAAAATGACTACAAATGAAACATTTTCATTCATGAAAGGAGAAGTTAAATAATGCAGCAGCCCCACATTTCCTCCTAGCTAGGTGATTTTTATATCAACACCTGTCAGAACTTAACAGTACCTAAGCTATCTGACAAAAATATGTTATAAATAACTTTTTAAATTAATGCTAACATTTATGCATTTGTAAAGTGCTTCTCTGAGTCAGAGGACTCCAAAGTGCTTTACATTACTAAGCAAATATTTATCCACTTTATAAGAGAATGAGTTGACAACTCCTGATGAAGGTCTCTGACCGAAAGCTCGACAAATAAAGCTCTCACATTGCAGACTGAAGTGTGCGGATTCTGATCTTTTTGAATTCTACTTTTGATCCAGCACCTCATCCAGATGAGCGGTGACTCCTTCTACTCTTTTTAAGAGAGTGAGTTAGAAAATGTAAAAAGCAAATACAAGTTACAAAAGTAAGAAATATAAAAAAACCATAAAAAGTGATAGATAAAAATACAGTAAAATATAAAATATTAGATTAGCCGTGCAAAGTCTGGTTAAAATGTCAGCGTAGAGTTAAACGAAGGAAACGATTAATTTTTCAGAACACTGACACCAAATGTCGTCACAGCAGGAAACATTTTCTCCAGTTACTCCAGAAAAATGTAACATTGGCAGAAAATGAAATGTAATTTTAATTCTGGAAAGCAAATGCACTCCTGTTGCGCTCTAGAGATGTTGGTTTCGGGTTGCTACGTCTGATACTGGTATAGCTTCACAAATTGTGTGTTCACGACCCAGGGACAGAAGAAAGATTGTTTTAGTTGGTTTTGGCTGAGCACAGTTGTTACATTTCAATTGCTCTTCTGATATTTTCTTGTTCTAAGGCATGATTACCCTTTCCTATGGGGTGACGGTGCCACAGGAGTTAAGTGCTCGCCCCGTAATCGGAAGGTTGCAGGTTCGAGCCCCGCTGAGTCTGTAGCTGTCGTTGTGTCCTTGGGCAAGACACTTTACCCACGTTGCCTGCTGGTGGTGGTCGGAGGGACCGGTGGCGCCAGTGCTCGGCAGCCTTGCCTTTTGTCAGTGCGCCCCAGGGCAGCTGTGGCTACATCGTAGCTTATCCCCACCAGTGTGTGAATGTGTGTGTGAATGGGTGAATGACTCGTTGTGTTATAAAGCGCCTTAAGGGGTTCCATGACTCTAGAAGGCGCCATATCAAATACAGGCCATTTACCATCTATAACCCTAAACAGCCCTGCAGCATAATTTCAGGTTTATTAGTAGCATTTTTCTCTTGGATAATAAAATCAGCTGGTCTCCAGTAGTGGGCCTCCCCCGTCTGTAGGTGTGAAGTGCATCACAATAGAGGAGGATTTTCTCTGCCCTGCAGGGTGAAAGAGCTGCTTTGTAGCA